CAAATGGATCAGAAAAGGAACCACAGGGTAAATTAGACAATATTTGAAGGTGAATAAAAATGAAAACACAACACATCAAAATTTATGAGACACAGCTAAAGTATGCTTTGAGGGAAATCTCTAGCTTTATATTATTATATAAAAAAAGAAAGATCTAAAATCAATGATCCAAGCTTCTGCCTTCAGAAGCTAGAAAAAGAAGAACACATTAGATCTGGATGAGTAGAAGGACAGAAATAATAAACATAAGAGAAGAAATCAATGAAATAGGAAGCAGACAAACAATAGAGAAAACCAAAGAAACCTATTTCTTTGGAAAAAGAAATCAATACAATTTATAAATCTCTAGTTAGACTGGTCAACTTAAAAAGAGAGAAGATATAAATTATTAATATCTTGAATGAAAGGGGGGATTTCACTACAATCCCCTAAAGAGGATAACAAAGACATATTTCAACCTACATCATACCAGTATATTCTTAGATAAAACTTAGGTGAAATGGACACAACTTCCTAAAATTAATACCCAAATAAATAGAAAACTTGAATGTACCTATTAAATTGAATTCATAATCTGAAACCTTCCCAAAAGAAACGCCAAACACAGATGGATTCATTGGTGAATTCTGTTAGACATTTAAGGTAGAAATAATGCCAACTCTATACAAACTCTTCCACAAAATAGAGGAGGGTGGAACACTTCCCAACTCACTTTATGAGGCTAGATGTATATATTATAAGAAAAGAAAACTATGGACCAAAGTCCCTCATTAATATAGATGTAAAAATCCTTCACAAAATATTTGTAAATTTAATCCAAAACAGAAAGAAAATATGCCATGGCCAAATGGAGTTTATACTAGGAATGCAAGCTTAGTTTAATGTTTTAAAATCAATCAGTAAAATTCACTACTAACTGGAGAGAGGAGAAAAAAACATGATGATCTCAATATAGCCAGAAAATGCATTTGACAAAATTCCAAATTCCGACACCAATTTATGATTAAAAATCTCAACACATTAGGATGAGAAATTTAAAAAAACAACAACAAGTAAACCCTCAACTTGATAAAGGGTATTCACCGAAAAACCCTATAGCTAACATCAAAACTGATGTTGAAAAACTTCATACATTCCTCTCTGAGATTGAGAACAAAGCAAGAATCTCCACTCACACCTTCTCTTCTTCTACTGTACTAGATATCCTAGTTAGTAAAATAAAGCAAGAAAAAGAACCTGGTAAATGGCATCAGATTTGAAAGGAAGAAGCAGTTCTGTCTTTGCATATGTAGAAAATCATAGGAAATCTACAAAAAGATACTCGACTTAATAAGTGAGTTTAGCCAGGCCAATACACAAAAGCCAACTGTATTTCTATAAACTAAAAACTACGGAAATTGAAATTTTAAAAATCCACTGACAGTGGCATTAAAAATATGAAACACTTCATGATAAATCTGTCAACATACATTCAAGAACTTTACACTGACAACTATAATACATTAGTGAGAGACATTAAAGGAAACCCAAATAAATTGAGAGAGACCATATTCACGAATCAGAAGACTCAACATTACTAAGACAGTAGTTCTTTCCAAATCGTCAATATATTTAACATAATTTCAATCAAAATCCCAGCAGACTTTTTTGGGTAGCAACTGACAGACTGATTCTAAAATTTATTTGAAAATAAAATGAACCTGGAGTAAGCAAAACATTTTTGAAAGATAAGAATGAAACCCAAGGACTTGCACTCCCAGACTTCGTGACTTACTATGAACCTAGGAAACCAAGACAGTGAGGCATTGGGTAAGGATGGACATGGATATTAATGGAGCATGACAGTAAGACTCACACATTTATGGTCCATTGATTTTTTTTTTTTTTTTTTTTTTTTTGGCAGTACACGGGCCTCTCACTGTTGTGGCCTCTCCCGCTGCGGAGCACAGGCTCCGGACGCTCAGGCTCAGCGGCCATGGCTCACGGGCCCAGCCGCTCCGCGGCATGTGGGACCCTCCCGGACCGGGGCACGAACCCGTGTCCCCTGCATCGGCAGGCGGACTCCCAACCACTGCGCCACCAGGGAAGCCCCTGGTCCATTGATTTTTGACAAAGGTGCCATGATAATTCAATGGGGGGAAGGATCATTTTTTTCAACAAATGGTGCTGGAACAAATGGATATCTGAGAAGGTGAACCTCAATTCTTTTCTCCCTCCCTTGAAGGTGGGCTATACTTAGGGACTTGCTTCCAAAGAATCGAGCAAGGAAAGGGGAAAATAGTGACCTTACGGCAAAGAAGCCAGTGATCATGTGGGTACCTGGCCTCCTTGTATTCTTTCCCAAAACCCACATCCCCAGGCTGATCACGAGAAAAGCATCAGACAAGCCCAGACTGAAGGGCATTCTACAGACTCTTCAAGACCACCAAGGTCATGACAAGCAAGGAACGTGCGAGACACTGTCAGACCAGAGAAGACTGGAAGGCATAACGACTAAGTGTGCATTGGATCCTGGATCAGGAAAAAAGCAATAATAAAAAGTTTATTGTTAAGCCAAGGGCTTGATAAGCGCTTTTTATGTTAATTAAAAGTTATTGGGCTTCCATGGTGGTGCAGGGGTTAAGAATCTGCCTGCCAGTGCAGGGGACACGGGTTCGAGCCCTGGTCCGGGAAGATCCCACATGCCGCGGAGCAACTAAGCCCGTGTGCCACAACTACAGAGCCCGTGAGCCACAACTACTGAGCCTGTGTGCCACAGCTACTGAAGCCCACGTGCCTAGAGCTCGTGCTCCGCAACAAGAGAAGCCACCGCAATGAGAAGCCCGCGCACCGCAACGAAGAGTAGCCCCTGCTCACTGCAACTAGAGAAAGCCTGCGCGCAGCAACCAAGACCCAACACAGCCAAATATAAATAAATAAATTTATTTTAAAAAAAGAAAGTTATTTTCATACGATAAAAAGTGAGAACTCAGATTTTATTCTAACATCTACTATCAAAAGACCTGAATTAAGAGTTTTCATAAAGAGCTACTCAGGCATAAAATTATTTAAAGCAACCAGTGCTCCTATGTAAACGTTGTCACTTGAAAGATGAGACCCTGAGGGCTTTCCTGGTGGTGCAGTGGTTGAGAGTCCACCTGCCGATGCAGGGGACCCGGGTTCGTGCCCTGGTCCGGGAAGATCCCACATGCCACGGAGCGGCTGGGCCCGTGAGCCATGGCCGCTGGGCCTGCGCGTCCGGAGCCTGTGCTCCGCAACAAAAAAAAAAAAAAAAAAAAAAAAAAAATAGATGAGACCCTGAGACACAGAAACACCAGGGCCTCACTCACACACCATCCAGTGCAGTGTGGGTGGCATCAAAATTCTATCCTGTAGACATGAATTTTGAAAAAATTAAAATTAAATTAATATTAAATTTTAAACAGAAAAATAAACCTCAACTTTTGCCTCAGGCCATACACAAAAATTAACTCAAAATGGACCACTGACCTAAATGCAAAAGCTAAAACTATAAAACTTGCAGAAGAAAACAGAGGAGAAAACTTCACAACTCTGGGATAAAGTAAGATTTCTTTGGACACAAAAAGTACAAACCATCAAAGAACAATTGGTAAATTGGGCCTCATCAAAATTTAATTCTGGTTATTGAAAGACACTCATAAGAAAATGAAGAAGCAAGTTGCAGACCAGGAGAAAATATTTATATGTACCTGACAAAAGGTGTGTATCCCAAATATACCAGGAATGCTTTCAATTCAAGGGTAAGAAGGAAAACCACCCACCACAACCACAACCAACAAATCAGAAGAGATTTGAACAAAACTTCATAAAAGAAGATTTAAGAATGGCCAGTAAATACTTTAAAGATACTCACCATCATTAATCACTAGGGAAACACAAATTAAAACCTAATGCAGTACCACTCCACACCCAATAGAACTGATTAGCACAAAAAGGACTGACAACGTCAAGTGCTGCTGAGACTGTGAAGCAACGGGAACTCTCGTACATTATGGGTGGGGATGCAAAAGATGTGCAGGGAAATTGCCTGGCAGTACTTTTTATAAAGTGAAATATACACTTAACCATGTGATCCACCAAAATCCCATTCAATCCCATTGACTCCAAGGGAAATAAAAATATATGTCCCTGTAAATGCTTGTACTTGGATGCTCACAGCTGCTTTATTCATAAAAGTCCCCAACCTGAAATAACCCAGATGTCCTTCAACAGGTGAATGGATAAACAAAGTGTGGTCAAGCCATACCTGGAACGTTACTCACCAATAAAAAGGAAAGAATCGCTGATACACACAACACATGGACGAGTCTCAAAAACATTCGGTCGAGTCAAAAAGAGTACACATGTTCCGTAATTTCATTTTCTATGAAACTCTCAAAAAGACAAATCTAATCTATGGTGTCAAAGAGCGGCTGGTGGCTGACAGGGACCAGGAGCGGAGGGACAGGGCTTAAGCGGGAAGAGGCACAAGAGAACTTTTTTAGGATGTAGATGTTCCCAGTCTTGGTTTTGGTGGTAGTTAACAAGGATATATAGAACTTTCAAGGCTTATCAAAATATACACTCAAATGGGAGCATTTTATTATGCATAAATCATACATAAATAAGAGTGATCAAAGATCCAAAAGGAAATGGGATTTTAAGAAAACAACACCACTGACTGTATGAGGTATCCTGGGGGCTGGCCTTTTGCCTCACAGTCTGAATGGTCAGGACAGATACTGGGCCCAGGGAGACAAGAGTGGGGTGTCACCCAGTGTCTGCTAAGTCGTCAGGACTGGGTGGGAGGGGGTGGGGCTGGGCACCCTGGGGGTTTGTGGAGGGCAGAGTATGGCTGTCTCTGCAGCAGTGCGCGGCTTTAGATTCTGTAACAGTACTAGGCTTCACATTCAACCCCTAACTCACACATATTCAACCACAGGCGCAGCCTGGAGCTTTTTTTTTTTCTTTTAATTTAAAAAATGATAGCAAGGCCTTACCAGAGAGCTGCTTGATGGCCACAGGTCTCACTTTGTAGGGAGTCCTGCAAGAGAGAAGGCAGTTCCACTGTAAGATGCTGTCAAAGATGTTCATGTACATCTGGTTCGAGAGAGAAGCACTTGGGCTGAATTAGAATTCAGTGAATTAGGTCTTTTAAAAATGAATTTCTCTGAGCTTTCTCATTCAGAAGAATTCTAAATACTTTAAATATATCACTTAAACAACGGACCTCCTCTATAATGTTCATATTTGGTTAATAAGATAAACATGTTGAATGCAGCTGGGATGGCACAGAATTGTCCTGGTCTGTCTTGACACCTGACTGACGCAGGAGGCTCTCCCTCTTTTGCTTTGAGCCCCAGGAGACGGCATCCCCCAAGTGCACAAGAGAGGATGGTGTCAATAACTCAGTCGAAAATGCACTGGCACCTCGGTGATGTCACCACCGGTAATCATGAGACCCACAGGGGGTGGGGAGAGGATACTGGTGATAGGAAAGACAGAGTAAGGGTCACTGTCCCTGACATACAAGGACCTCTGGCAAAGGTGGGGGGGAGACAAGTCAATGGAAAATAGGCAGAGAATAGGAACAGGCAAATCATCGATAACAGTTAATAAAAATAAAAAGAGGGACCTCAAGAAAGAGGCTATGTTTTTTTTTTTGTTTTTTTTTTTTTTGCGGTACGTGGGCCTCTCACTGTTGCGGCCTTTCCCGTTGCGGAGCACAGCCTCTGGATGCGCAGGCTCAGCAGCCATGGCTCACGGGCCCAGCCACTCCGCGGCATGTGGGATCTTCCCGGACCGGGGCATGAACCCGCGTCCCCCACATTGGCAGGCGGACTCTCAACCACTGCGCTACCAGGGAAGAGAAAGAGGCTATTTTTTTACCCAAATTTTAGAACCTGGTAACATGAATGCTACGAGGCACAGGGATTCAGGGTCTCACAGGTATTGCTAGTGGGAGTACGGATTGCCATCACCTAGGGGAAAGCAACCTAGCAGCACCGATTCAAATGTAAAATCCTTTGTCTCAGCATGTGAACCTAGGAACGGAAGTATTAACTCTTTTGGTTATCTTACACAGGGATGTGGTCGGGTTCTGGTGATATAAGAGTGAATCAGGGCTTCCCTGGTGGCGCAGTGGTTAAGAGTCCGCCTGCCAATGCACGGGTTTGAGCCCCGACCCAGGAAGATCCCACATGCTGTGGAGCAACTAAGCCCGAGTGCCACAACTATTGAGTCTGCGAGCCACAACTACTGAGCCCTCACGCCACAACTACTGAAGCCTGCGCACCTAGAGCCCATGCTCTGCAACAAGAGAAGCCACCGCAGTGAGAAGCCTGCGCACCGCAACAAAGACCCAACGCACCCAAAAATAAAAAAAGAAATTTAAAAAAAGAAAGAAAGAGTGAATCAGACAAGAACGCTCTGCCCTCACAGATCCCACGTTCCATGGTCAAGTACACGTTGAAAGGATGTGAATGCTGCCATTTGAATGGCTAAGAAATATTCGGGCCCCTCTCTGCCGGGGCTGGGTGACACATTAGCTGAACTGTGGTGTGTCATTCAGTTGTCAAAAAGATGGAGATGAGCGAGCAAGTACTGACGTGGAGGGTTGCCTACAACATCTCGTTAGGGAGACACGGCAAGTTACAGGGTCACAGACAGAGAATCAGCTCAGCGATGGAGAAAGAAAGTACAGAGACTCTGGAAGGAGTTACACCAAACGCCAGACTCTTAACAGTGGCTAACTGGGCATCCTACCTGTAGCCTAACAGTTATAGGGCACACGGAAGATTGTTTACATTTAAAATGCCAATAAGGTACAAAAATAACAACTGCGTGGCACTAATAGGTGATGGACGGAGAAGCCCACAGTGGTCTCAAGTCCCACCTCCCCACAAGGGTTTCCTCCTGGTGGTGCCCGTGAGGGGCAAGTCACCCCCACCCATCTCCCCCGCAGGAGCATGCACCTTGCTCGGGGAAAGGTCCTCTTCCAAAGGCCCCCGGAAGTTGGTTATTTGGGACTTGGGGAACATTCCCTACAGAGGTTTCATCGTGATGGTGTTTGGGTCCTGGGAGATCACAGAACATCCTGTTCAGAGTCCACGCGGTTTGAAGTGTGGCTCCACCCGTAGAGCAGGTGAGACACCCGGCTGGGGCGGGGCTTGGCCATGGCGGTACTAGCTGCCTCTGTCCCCACGCTGATGGCGAGCAGGGCGGGTTCACCCTCCCCGGGCCCTCCCAGCAGCCATCAGCCTCGCCAGCTTGCGGGTTTCCAGGAGCCACCGCTCAGCGAAGGGGGGAACCTCCCTGAAGCCCGCCGCGTGTGTGGGGCTCACTTTGAACCAGGGGCGTATCCAGAGCACGTGTCAGTGCTTCGGGGGGGCAGGGCTGCGGCGATGGGCTGAGGGGCTCGGAGAGCCAAGGCGAGGTGGGCGTCACCTCTCCTCTCTCCTGCCTCAGCCCCATGAGCAGCGCTGACGCTGGGGCAGTGGGTGGAGAGACGGGATCCCGGCCCGACGGGCACAGGAAGGGGCCGCCCCTTCCCCGCTTTCTCTTCTTTCTCCCTCCCCTGCTCCCGGCCGGGAGGTGACAGTGACGGCACAGAGGAGGTGCGGGAGGTGTGGATGGGGAGAGACAGAGCCGCGTGTCCCGAAATGCCCCCCGCCTCCCCGTGTCAGAGGCGCTGACCACAGCTGGATCCCCAAGATTACTCTTGGCCCCTGGTTCCTTAATCCTCTTGACTCAACAGCAGGAGTGTTCTCAGAAGCAGTTATGTTGCTGCCACGATTGAATAAACTCCTGCCTCGGCCTAAATTGAGTTGCAGCTTCATCATTTCTTCCTCAGCAACAGGACTGAGATAAACCACTTTCCGTTTGCCTTGAACTTGTATTTGTGTTTTTCCAAAATGCCTCTTTTCAAACACGTTTACTGGGAGCTGCGCCGGAATCCAGGAAGCATTTCTCCCCAGCTCAGGGGACGGGCACACACGCCATCCTTGTAAGTGCTCAGCCGTTTCATCTGGTGGACAGCTTCATGTATCACAACTCGGCTAAAACTGGGAATACAGGAGCGTTTGTATCACATGTGTGCCGTGCCGTCCTGGCTCTCCCCTCTCTCCACACGCCCCATTTTTCCTCATACTACTTAAGGGTCTGTTTCTCTCCTTCAACAAGGATCTTGAAGCAGCAGAGGCAGAAACGCAACGGTGGTTGAGGAGCAACACGCTGGTCAGCGGGGCACCATGGGATCCACAATGTCCCCTTGTCCAGAAAGGAGCGCACTGGGACCAGATGCTCGGTCCCGCCGAGCGTGATATGAACGAAGCTGGGATGTGTCTACTTGTGTTTGTTAGTCTTTAGGAATGAGGGTGATTAGCAATCAATCACCTTTCTTATCAGCTCCAAAAGACAGAGGAAGCTACTCAGCCCATTGCTAGATTAGAGCCACCCTGTGTCTGGTAGAGGTGACCTTCTGGTCACTGGCAGGCTGAGCACCCACCTGGGGGTCGAGTAGTTTCTTAGCTTTTGCCCACTTTACACCAGTGATTCTTACCCTCGCTGCACACTGGAATCACCCGGTGAGCTTTAAAAAAAAAAAATCCCTCAAAAATCCACATTTCCTGGGTCCTAGGGGCTCTGGTCACCAGAGCCTTTTTGATGATCCCTGGTGGTTTGAACCTGCAGGCAGGGCTGATGGTCACTGGTTTGCTTGGACTAGGTTATACCACGCATGTTGAGAGGGGGTGGGACCCCCGACGGCAGCTGGAACCGTGGGACTGGAGAATTAGAAGCAAACGGAACAGATCGGAGGCCTCGCTGGGGCTCGCGCATGATCCGGGAGGGGGAGGTGAGCAGGCGGGAAGGGAACCTTGGGGAACGCCGCCTTTCAGGGACAGAGAGTGGGAAACAGACACAGCCGGGGGGAAGATGATGGAGGCAGCTGGTAAAAAGGAGAAGTCCATGATCTCAAATGCAGGGAGCAGACAGAGACAGGGGAGGGGATGCCCAGTGCTGGGAACAGTGATTAAGGAGGTCCTGGCCAACAGCAGCACCACCTGGGAACCTGCAGAAATGCCAGTTCTGGGGCCCCGAGGGGCTGGGGAGAGGGAGGGAGGGGGCTCTGCTTCAGCCAGCCCCCCGGGGTGCACGTGAGGCTGGTGGCCTGGGGGACACCGGGCAGCTCTGCGACGAGAAAGCAGTGGGGACCGCATACACCGGTTCTCAGCCTCGCCACCACTGACATTTGGGCAGGTGAGTCTGGGGTGGAACCAGTCCTGGGCACTGCGGGACGTAGAGCTGCAGCCCTGGTCTCTGCCCGCTGGATGCCACAGACCCCATCCCCTGGCGTGGCAGCCAAAATGCTCCAGACTTTGCCAAGTGTCTCCTGGAGAACAAAACTGCCCCCCGTTGAGAAGGGCTGGCACAGAATAAAGAGCCTAAGGAGATATGATGAGGTGACAGAACAGAATCGACAAACTACAAACTGCTTTAAATTAATTCAGGGAAAATGCAGTTTTGCCCCATCAGACACTGGCTTGCAAGGACAGGGCACTTCCCCCTGATGACATCGTTGTATCTGGTGGACGTCAGGGGTGACAGGTCACTCGTGACTTTCCTTATGAATACAGATCTGGGTCAGGCTGGAGCTTATGCCACAATTTACGACAATCTTCCTGGAGCCTCTGGGGATTCAATTAGCATCGCTCCTTCCGGGGAGCCCGGAGCCGATAATCAGAGCGTAATCAGAGCCAGAATGCGTGGGGGCAGAAGCTCCTGATGACAAAATTAAAAATTCAGGAGATTGATGGATGCAGTGGAGGGGGAGGGGAGACCGGGCGGAAGCGCCCAGATGCTCGGGGAAGGACAGTGCTGACAGCACGGAGCTCGGAGGACGTCGGAGGCTGTTCAAATGTTCTAGGACTTTGTACATGCCAAGGGTTTGTTACTTGCCGAGCGTTCTGCACCAAAGCCTGGCAGTCTTTGCGAGGTCTTGAGCCCTTGCCTGGGGCCAGGCATCCTGCACCCAGGCCGGCGTGGATGGCTGACAGGTGGCTTCGGGGGACAGAGGATGAAGAGCTGGTGCCCATCCCTGGGCGCTCAGGTGTGCACACACCTTTGGTCGGGAGAACCTTTTGGGCACCTACAGCGGAGGTCACAGGGACCCCATCATGGGAGCCCAAATACTCCCACGCTGCCATCAGGGGGCCAGGGCCCTCCAGTGGCTGGGGACTTCGAGGGTCTGCCTGGGCATGCTCTCTCCTGCGGCTGGAGCAGCTGGCCTGGTTCAGTCGGGGGGGCACAGCCTGATGGCCGGATTGACAGGTGTCCCTCGCAGGGGGATTACAGTGAGGGGCAGGGGTAACAGGGGTCCCGAGGGGCACCCCACTCCCAATCACGTTCCTGCTTCCGGCCTTGCAGGGCACGGGGGCTGGATTCTGCCTGGCCCTGCTGCAAATACAAAGTGTGGACTACCGGGGACCTTGCCAGCCGCTGGGCAGAGGGGTGGGCGTGGATGGGAGAGGCTCTGCTTGGAGTCCCTTCCTCCGGCCACATGCAGCCGGGCTGTTTTACAGATGTTCACAGGTGTGTTTACTGCCCAAGCCTTTTCCTCTCTAGGTCTCTCCTGGTTTCGCTCCTCTGGCCCCCAGGCTTCCCACCCCCCAACCTCCGCTGTCTTGGGCAGAGTAGCTGGTGGACAGTGCTTGACAACTCCAGGACTTGCCCCAGGGGGTCAATGCCCAGCGCTGCCCAGGGAATCTGGTCAGGGAATCTCCTGCCCGGATGGACTGGGGGCAGCTCTGCTACTGACACTCAGTGCCTCGGTTTCCCCATCTGTAAATGCCCCCTCAGAGGGCTCTCGTGAAGCCTCGGAAAGGTCACGCTTAGAGCTGCTACTTTCTTGGAAAGTGACAAGTTCTGCAAAGGAACCAGCGGCCTCCTTCCCAGACCCTCCCATCTTTGGTTTAAATTCAGATTTTCCTGCAGCAGTAAATATATAAAACAACCATGGAGACCCCGCCGTGCATGCAGAGAGCTGTCAGACACACCACGAGAAGGAGCTGACGTCGCCCACCAGCTGCTTACCGTTCCGAATTGGCAGGCATGGTGGGGTCGATGGAGACCATGGCGTCATCTGTGGTCAGGAGGGAGATGGTCGTGTTCCTGGAAGACAGGAGAAGCCAGTGTCTTCACCCCGCTGCTGTCCCCCAGGGGGAACACTTGAATCTGGGCCTCCCATGAAATAGGAGCCCGGGTAGCAGGCCCGTCCTGCCCAAGGGGCCATGAGGAGTCGGCCTCAGGACACTGGCCCTCAGCTTGTAAACAAAGTTACGGGCTGTGTGTGTACTTCTAAATGGTCAGTAGATGTGTAAGTAATTTAAGATGGGAATTGGAGAAAGTGTAATTTGTTGAGTTGGGAGATTAAATTGTGTCAAAGTAGAAAATGAACATTTGTATCAGCCGGTGATGAATTCAGGGTTTGCCTTCCTGCTTCATTTCCTGCGGGAGTCTCTATCTAAACAGGCAAAAAGCTCTCCTACCAAACAGTTTTAAGTGGATAAATTGAATCTTCCTCCAACTTCTCATCTGTGGGGTCTTTCATGCGAGGTGTTGCCTTAACCACGTGACTTAACTCTCTGGTCTTCAGTCGTGTATCAAAATCTGTGCAATGGGGGTGACACCTGAAACCCAGGTTGTTCTAAAGAACAACATTTATTTATTTCTTAGCACATTGCTTAATAAAAGATGCCCCAAACTGTGGGCTATTTCTTGCTGCTGCAAACCGCTACCTGCTGTAACTTCAGGTGTGTAGTCTCATCCTTGACTCTTCTTCTCACCTGACTCTGAAAGGCTCCTGCTGTCCTCCTCTCTCACCCTCCTTGACCTGGGTCACAACTTTAGTTAACCGCAGGCCAAGCTGCCCCTCATCGCTCTCTATAGTTGGGAAGTTAGGACAGAAAATCCACTGGCTGGAACAAACTGTTGATTTGGGGAAAAGAATTCTTCTGGAATTCTTATGGTTCTATAAGGCAGATTTCTGGTCTTTTCAACTTATTTCTGACATCAGTCTTTTCCTAAACCTTGATCTGTGATAAGCCCCCCTCTCCCCCTTGCTGGATCATTTGGGGCTGGGGGACCAAAGTCTAAACATTACCACCGTCCTTTACCCTTTCTCCCAAAGCAAACGAATAAATGAAAGAAAAAAAGAAACTCTTAAGACAGTAGTTTCTGCCTAATTCTGCCCGAAGGTTCCTACTGCGTAGCACAGCGGTGGCTGAGGAAACCTCCAGCGACTCATCCACTGATTCGAAAGGTCCCGAGTGCAAGGTACAAGGTGAGCCCATGGGCCCTACCACACCTCTTGTCCCCTAGACTCGGCCACTCGCCCTCCCAGGTACCTGTCCCTCCAGGTGAATTTAAAGGCGTCCCTCTGGCGGGGGCAATTCCGGGTCACTCACCGAGGCAGGCCGGTGGCGATGCAGAACAGGTCCATAATGTCGCTGGAGTTGCAATACTTGCTGAAGACCACCTGCAAAACAGAAACAGAAGGCCATGAGGGTCAGGCGGGAGCAGGGCAGCTGGTTTCCGTGGTGATGTCAGATTCCAGAGCTTTCTCTCTGGTCCCAACCTGCAGGTTAATTTTACAAAGAAAAAACAAAATCACCGTGGGCACTGGAATGTTCCATGCACGTCTCTTCACTGAGTCGATTTATACAGGTTGAGAAAAACTTCACTCTTCTGTTCGCTGAAAAGAGTTGTGAAAAACAACGCTATCACCCACGTAAGGACACCTGCGGTGACATGCTGCCTCGTGCCCCTCGTGGTGCTGTCTGACGCACCATCAACAACCTCGGCTTAATGATATCACATCGCAGGGGGCCATTATGCGAAAGAAATTTAAGATCGTTAGCTTAAAAACAAAAGATTGCCTTTTAGGATTTGGGGGCTGAGGTGCAGGACCAAACCCAAGAGGGAATCACCCTGAGAAAGGGTCTGATTGGAACCGTCAGTCTGCATAGTGAACAAATTTCACCGGAGGCAATTTTACACACGGCCTGGGTGTCCAGTCCCTGCTGGACAGGAGAGAAACACGTCACATCAGCATCTTTTGTCCAAGGGGCCCCGATTGTGAATCTGGGCTCCGGAACCCCTCCCTGGGAGAGGGGGCTTCACGTACAGAGAGGGGGGTGCTCTCCAAGGCTGGACAGCGCACACAGGACAGTCCACGCCAAGGCTCCCATAACAGAGGTTTTCCGTCAACATTCTCCCTGGCTAATTGCTTAAGGCCCCTCCTGCTCACCAGGAGTCCGTGGGCGTGGGGCGAGCCAAGCTGAGGAGAGTGGGTACTTTTCAGTGCCAAGGCGCTATTTTTTCAGCCAGATCAGTCTGCATCTTTTTTTTTACCGGAAACAGTAAAACAGAGTAAGCAGATATTTTTCCCCGCAAACGTAGCTGTTCCCTGACTACCACGGCCTCCTGTGTGCTACTGGCCTGGCTACGCTGAGACTCAGCCAGCACCACTGTCCGGGCTGCCCGCTTGCCCCCCGAGGTGGTATTCGCACCCTTGGTGACAGGGTCTTTGTTCGGCACTGTCCACCCGGCGGCCACTGGCCTGGCTCAGACCTGGTCCCGCCTGGACCCCTGCAGCAGCCCCTGCACTGGCCCTGCTGGGTCTCAGCCCAGGACCCACCCTTGGTTTATAGAACTCAAACCTGGTTGTACCACTTTTCTGTGCAGATGCCTCTGCTGCCCTGCACGCCCACCGTGGGAGAAGGCCCACCTCCTCGCTGGGCACCTGAGGTTCTGGGGTGTGTCCCTAGAGGCTGTGCCCTCGCCAAGCTCCGGCCCCAGCCTTCACTCCCGTCCACGGGTGCCCTTTCCTCGCCCTCTGCTCTGGGTCCCCCCATCCCAGAGACCGTCCTCCGCTCTCCGTCCTCCCGGCTCTCGGGACTCGGGGCCAGCTTCTCCACACGGCCCCCCGACCCCACCGCCAGAGGAGTCTTGTGCCTTCGGCCCCCCGCGTTTTCACAACAGTGCGTCCCAGCGCCCCCAGCACAGGCCTTAGCTCACGCCTCGGCCTTTGCATTTGTGCCCAAGACGGGTGAGGTGCGGGGTCCTGGCCATTAGCCCACTGACACGGGACCATTTCTGACTTTCCCACTCAAGCCTTTGTGAAGGTCGTGTCCACCTGGTGCAGGCTGACTACGTGGGTTTATTCCAGAGCCCAGTAAAAGGCGAGGGTGGGCCGAGGCAGAGGACAAGACGGCTCTGTCTGTGAACATTGGATTTGCCCGGAGATTCCGGCACAGGGCGAGGTGGCTGGCAGGTCGTGACCAGATGCTGGTCACGAGCCGAGCGTGACCCCAGCAGGTTAGTGCTGACAAGGCAGGGAGGTGGGAAGAAAGACCAGGAGCTTGGAATATCCTGGGGGCCTTGACAAGAGGTGAGTTTGCCCAACTTTATAAGCACTGCAGATGAAATCTGGAGGGGCGGGTCTTTTGTGATGGCTTCCTATTCCTCGGGATAGCAAATAATAGAGGCTTTAAAAAGTCCAGTTATGGAGCAGCAAAACAAACCCAGAAGGGCCCACAGGGCTCACTCACACTCTCGCTGCCCCTCTGTAACCGATCCAGCCCAACCTAGTGAGGGAGGCTGGCCTTCTGGGTCCAGAAGAGTCTTTGAGGTTATTTTTGACTGGGGGCGGGGGCGGGGGCGGGGGATGGAAGGAAATCAGAAATAAGCAGGAGAGATCGCATCCGGTGTCTTCCATTACAATGGAAAACCATGCTGTGTCCACCTGGAAATCCATTTCAACATTTCTCTACCGTATAGAAACACAGGTTCTTTGACGGCACTTCTGAACCGGTTGTAACATCTTTTGCCATTTCCCTCATTCAGCTAACAAGTTAGTTTGACGTGTGGCCATTTCACATCTGTGTGAGAGTCAGGCTTTTGCCTCATTTAGTTAGTTAATGAGCCTTTAGCAGGACCCGCGCAGGTGAGAGGCTGGGGTGAATCATCAAGTGAAGCCTAACTTCGGAAGTGCTTGGACAGCCTAGTTCTTGGCTGGGTGTCAGTAGAAGCTCCCGGCCTAGATGGGTTGTTCCTGGTGTGGGAAACCAGCCCCTGGAGCACAAAGGCTTGGTTGGCCTGGGAAGAAGCCCTCCCCCGCCCCCGTCGCCAGGCAGCCTGGTCAGGAGGGCACAAGGCTTTCTGTTCCCATGCTGAATCATTCTGCAAATCCTTTATCCTCTATCCAGAAATAAACAGCGGGGGGAAAAAGCATTGGTGAAATGAAATTTAAACGTGAAAAGTGGAGGCAGCATGATTAACAGAGAAATAAGGGTCTTGCGTTGCCCCGGGGCTGCGGCTCATCAGTAAGCACGGCAGGTCACCCCACACCCTTTCACGTGGCTTGGTCGGCAGCACGGCGATGTTAAAGCAGGACAAGAGAAAACAAGGAGAAGCCCAGAGGCCTCCCTTTTGCTGGACACTGGTCCTCCCTGCCCAGATCACAGTGGGCAGGACACTGGTCCTCCCTCCTATTCAGCTGGGACCTGTGAACGTCAGAGGGAACTTCGGCATCTGGAACCTTCCCGCTGCCTGCAGAGCTGGGTAACAAATACTCATGGAGACCAGCCACCCGCCAAGCTGTGTTCTGAGGGGTCCCCAGAGGAAGCAGCACACAGAGCTGGACGAAGCTCCCCTGGGCCCAGCCAGCGAGGGGTCAGGGGCGTCAGGATCACAGCCCAGGCCTCCCTCTGTCCAGCACACACACGTGACCCAAACAGCTCTGACTCGCAGGCTCTGCACTGCGTGTAATATCTGTATTCAGCCCCCGCCCACCCAGCGATGGTGTCCTGGCAAGAGCAGGGGATCCTGTGCCTCCCGTCGGTTATTCTTCTATCCATCGGTTCCCTCCCAGTGCCCTGCCCACCCCTCCGCCGTCGTGGGCAAGACCGCCACCACCCCGTAGCCTCAGTTTGCCTTTCTGCAGATGAGGTCCATCACGCCAGCTGCACCTGCCTCTCAGGGCTGAGATGGGCAACATGTGAGGGAACGTGCTTGAACAGAGCCCTCAGGACGCTGCCGCTCTGACACAGAATTCAGCTGCGTACCAGCTCTGCTGCCTGTGGAACCCCCGGTTCCCACTGGCTCTAAAGTCCTGACTGTGGATGGAAGTGTCCAGGGCTGTTCAAGTTACCAAACGCACCCAAAGTGACTTGTGGCCCTCCTTTGCCTGGCACCCAATTTTATTTCAGTAGGACCTCAAATGTACGACTGCAGGATTTACAGAGCGTGCAGACGAGGAAGAGAGGTACGTGTCCCAGGGCACACACGGGTTGACCGGGCTTTCTGGCTCAGTGCATGGTTGGCACTGGCCTTGGCCCATCCCAGTCGGGCAGCCCAGGAAACGGGCCCAGGGCTTTGGTCAGGGCTGTGCCCTCCCAGGCGGGTTGCTGGGTGGGGACCTTTATGAAGACATCCTGCAGGCCTGTCCTTACAGGTGGGGACTTGGGAGCGAGAGCCAGGGGACTGCCGTGGCCCAGCCACAGCCCTCAAAGCACAGGGCGCCTCCCTAGAGCCCTGGCTGGGCAGCCCTGGCCCCTGGGGTCCCTGTCCCTGCCCGCAGCCTGACCTACAACTGTCGGGCCAGCACACAATCTCCTTTCCTCGTGAGAGGATCACTAAGCGATCCGGAGCTGGTGGCAATTGGGGTGAGTCACAGGGTCACGGGGAGTCTGACCTGGGCTGACCACACCAGGCCACCCACGAGATCACTAAGGAGGCGCAGCCCCCGGAGAAGGCGGGGAGGGAGGCCGGATCACAGTGGGCAGAGGGGAGGGGCAGAGGGCAGGAGAGCCCAGTGTCTTGGGTTGCCATATACGCACGGTTCTGTTTCTTGGTATCAAAGGCACCTCCATCAACATACTTAGAACCCAGGGCTGGTAACCGAGGAGCAGATGGTCAGAGCACGGCCAACTCGCGTCCAGGGGTTAAAGAGACAGGACGGCACTTTCTAAAGGCCTGGGGGTGACTTGTCGTTTCTGAGTATAGAGGCCTCTTCCCGGGACGGGATTCTATTGTGTTTTCCTCTCTCCCCCTGGACCCCCCATTCAGAGGCTTATGGAGGGGAGAATGCAGGAAGCAGCCCCTGAGTTCCCGTGTTCCAGCCACACGCTGCTGTTTGCGTGTCGAAAAGCAGGAGGATGGATGGTCTCCGGGCCGCCAGGCAGCTCAGATAATCGATCACCGAGTTTCCCATTATGAGGTTAGGAGGATGGAGATTTGATCATCGCCCAGGTGGGGCTCCTGGAGGGCACTCTCTGGTCTTCTGCAAACTAACCCAGCATGAAAGGGTTTCCACGTTCCTCAGGAGAGATTCCAGGACCTTCCACTGGGAAACGCAGCTTCGTGTTTCAGCATGAGGACAGCGTGCGGGGAGTGGCTGAGATGTTCTGGATTGGAAACCAATCCCGATGGGCTGTACACTGGATGGGAGACAGGACACAGGCAATCCAGCAACGA